TTTTTTTTTTTTTTTTTTTCCCAGACCAGTTGGTGGGGAGGGGCATTTCCCTGGGGAAATGCCCATTTGGAGTTTTCCTTCCTAATTTGCCCTAAACTAAGACAACCCCCCACCACACAGGCAGGAAGTATTTATCTCTTGATTAACAAACTTGCCATTTCACAACACAGATGTATCTAAATACATTACTTAAACTATTGTTTTAGAGTTATGAAGGTTTCATAGTTACATTCATTTTATATTTATTTGCCTCTCCTACATTTTTTGTGGTACAGTATTTAAGTATAGGAAGACTTCTGGCAGTTTTTCCCATTGTCACAGAAAATGTGTTTCAGTTTAGACTTATTTATCCCTACCATCCATAAAAATTTCTTCATTAATACCTCAAATTAGTTACTAAACAACAGGACATCATCTACAGCATGGAATTTCATGCATAAAAATACTGTCAATTCTTACCTGCTGCAAACTAAGAATAAGTGTTTTAGCACACTGGATTTTGTCTATCTGTCTTGTTTTACTCATTGTTTCTTTAATAATATCACCATAGTCATTGTAATACTAGGAAAAACAAAAAAAAAGTTAACAGTCAATGTTAGTTGAAAACATTGCAACTACTGAATTCTTCTGAAAACAAAATCTAGGATATGTTCTTTTAGAAAGAAAAATCAAACACTATCTAAAGGAAAAAACCCCAACATGTTCATGATTACACCAAAATTACACTCTAAACTGCCTCCACAATAATAATTTTTAAAAAACCTAAATCCAAAAAGAATAAACCCACTTTTCATTCTTGCAGTGAGTATTACTTTAGAGGCAGAATGACCTATTTATCTTCAAGGCCATGACATATTTGTTAATGACACGTGTTCACCCCTTCAGGGTACAAGATTAGAATCTATTTTTAGTAACTCCTGTAACTGTGGTGGGGAGTTTTATTTTCTTTGCTGAAAGGAGGCACTTACAGACAGCATCATAGCCATAATTTGTCCAACAAAGACAGCTGTCTGTTCAGTTTTATAAGTACTTCAGGTTTAAAAAAGACCCAATTAGTTATTTGGAGAATCAAAATATATGTAGGGCACTCAGACGGATAAAAGCAGGCTGCCGAAACGTTAAGTTTTTAAGGAAATCACCAAGGAGCAAAGCTTTATCATATTCACAAAATGAGAACTCATATTAGTGTGCAGCTGTGAATGCCATGAGCCAGGAGAGGTTTTTATATTTAAATAAGATTGAAACAGATATAAAGATAATGAGGGGAGGGGTAGAGGGGACTCAAATTTTACTTCTCTTCTATAAAGTTTAAACTTAAATTATTTGATGAGGCTGGACATCATGGAGTTGATCTTGAGAAGAACATTTTCAAAAGGCCTACTAAACTAATAAGTGAATTAAAAATACACCATCAATCAGAATAATAAAATAAAACTAGTAAAAACAACATTAAAATAATTAGTCAGTTTCCCTCCTCAGTCCCCACCACCTATACACTGGAACTGTAACACTCATCTCAGTAATTTTTCCCCCTACACACAAAAAAAGGGCCTACAACTCCAGAGTTTTAAATTCTCCACATTTTGAAACAGTTACCTTGTAAGGTGGAAAAAAAACAAGTAAGAGTTAAAAATTCCAGAACTACTGTATTCTAGTTGTTTTATGAAGTATCATCACTAAGCTTCAAATTTACCTTCATATATTGCTTGAAAATATCTGCAGCTGTGTTCATTTCCACCACAGTATATACAATGAGCTTACAGAAAGCTGCAAGTAGGTTTCTTCTTTTGTGCAATGCTTCAATTTTGCTGGCTTCATCATCCTGCTGTCCATCTAGAAGGAGTTCAGAACAGGAAAACTGTCAGGTTTAAAGACTACATGCTTAAACATTTATATATAAAACTGATATGGGCTAGTGGTCATGATTCAGAAAATCAGATCTCACTTCTGATGGCAATGCACTTCACTGTCCACTGACATGTGTCTTACCCTGACACAGAGACAAATATTTGAGCCTATTAAACCAAACCTTTACTGTAATTATCCTACGTGTTCCCAATACAGAAAATCCTTTAATCAGCTGCTGACATTTAAAAGACACACCTACCTCTGTGCATATGCACACCTCTCAATGACAAAACGAAATTAAAACAAAAAAAAAAAAAAACAAAAACAACCAGGCAAACAAGAAAAAACCCAACAACAAAATACGACCACCACCACCAAAGCCCAGAAAAGCACAAGGAAACAAAGATATTAGTCAGAAAACAAGTAATAGAAAGGAAACTTAAGCTTTGTACAAACCGGCACTATTATTATCATCATCCTGATCAATGAAGACATGATCTAAAATAAAACTGAGTAGTTCAGATTGCAAAGAAGAATCAGGAGTGTAAACAAGTGGCTCCAACATGTCACGTCCTCCTGTCATAATCTGATGGCTGAAGATCATCAACACATCACACAAAATTGTGAAAGCCTGTTAAAAAGAAACCTCAGTAAATACTTGCTTGGAAAATGTATTTTGTTTAGAATAATGTATTTGCACTTGACAAAATACTTGAGATCTCAACAGTATACACAGGCCACTAAAGTCCTACGCAACTACAAAGGCCAACTGAAGTCAAAATGTGCATAGCTTCACACAGTAGGCTCCTGAATCAAGTATGAGTCTCCAAATAAAAATACTGCACAGATGATGCTAACTAAACATAAAAATATTGCAAGATTAACACATGAGGAGCCTGATACTCCCAAATTCTACCTGATGCATACTACATTAGGTCTAGAGAACTAGAGAACTTCATGGACTCTGACCATAGTACAGTCGCCTTTTTGCTGTCTTTTCTTGAAATGTTTTTGTTCACATTTGTTTAACATATAACAGCTGAGATTGTTCAATCTCTTTAAATCCTGATGTCCAAAAATCTAAAACTGCAACCAACTTTTCTGTTTTGCTAACTTGTGCATCTGATACCAGATTTAAATGCCTGTACTCCACTGTGCCAGATTCAAATGTCTTAGTACCTGACACAAAGATTGACACTCTGCAAACAGACCAAGGCAACAAGCTGTTTAGTGCTGCACTTTCTGTTTGGCTCTAATCTCCAAGTACTTCCATGAACAGGTCTGTTCTCTAACTCCTCATAGTGAATATTACTAATTCCTGGCCACAAAAAAAATACACGTGCTCCTCTGAAGTCCCTTGTGTCCTTTCGTGGGATTAGAGAAGGGAGGTGGAACCAACACCAAGTGTAACATTGTGCCCTACGTGACAGATACCCTGCGCAACTAGGCAGCTCTAGTTTGTAGAGTGTTCACCGGAGTCTGAGAGTCATACAGCCTCTTAGGAAAACCTACTCAGAGATTCAGTAATTTTTGTTACTAGCACTTTCACACCCTACACCTTGTGACTATTACACTAGCTAGCTCTTTGACACAGAACATGTCTATTAAGCTCCAGGAATTATTCTTGTTCTAGCAAGAGTTTCAAAAGCTGCAATTGTGCCATTCAGTGGACCAGATTTTCCACTTCAACCAGGTTATTATTATCTGCAGCAGCAAAAGGCTCCTGGCTTTCTACTTCTTTAATTAAACTGTCTACCTAGAAGATAATCTGGTCTTTCCCCTGTAGAGACATAGTTAATTTTCTTTCATTTTAGCATTTTAAAGATTGTTAAAGGCATTTACTTAGAATTAATTCTGCTATCAGTAACCTGTGTACCTCACTGGAACTTCAAATTCCTACAAGTGTCCTGGCCAAAGAACTATTTGCCCATAGATTGAAGAGACTCAGCCCCTACAGTTCAATTATTTTTTTTTTCACTATTATCCTCAGAACTCAAGACAAGTGTTTCCCAATATGATGTCTCAATTCTTTTTGAAACAGAAGCAAAAGCTATAACCAAGAGAGCAGTGTGACTACAAAAAAAATCCCATTTCCCAACAATAAACTCTCCTAGGTTACAGTGCATACTTGTGCATGTATAAATATACACACTCATCTTAAGTACTCATTTTTTTCTCTTAATTTTGAAATGCCCAAATTCTTGGCACTCTGAAAAACTGAGGAATATATTGTATTATGGAGCAACACAGAGAAGGGAAGCTGCACCTGCATGCATTCAAAGACAGAACCAAAAAAAAAAAAAAAATCTCTTTTAAATTGCTGTCCTTAGCTCTTCCAGTGTGGAGCCTATGAATCCACAGCTTCACAGGAGATGTGAGTCATTAACACATGGTAAGCAAGAGGTTTGAAATGGAACTCTTTCACTCAGCTTACACCCAGAAGGCTTCTACAGTGCACCTGCAGAGTCATTACTTAAAGAAACAAAAAAGCTCCTTTGCATAAAACATTATGCTGCCTAAAATTACTCAAAAGAATCAAGTTTAAATCGATTCTGAAATCCTTTGTACATAAGGAGGATGAGCATACAAGTATGCATTCACACTCAAAGGGCACTCAGCCTGAACATCCAGGACATCATGTTCCCACATAAGTGCCAAAAACATTAGCAAGAAGAACTTTTCAGTATAAAAGCACAGTATTAGAAGATGCCAAGTAACAACAGCCACTAACCTGTTCCTTAACAGCAGTATTTACATTGGTCAGGTAGTGTTGACAGATCTGACAGAACACTCTCATCTGCTTCTTTAGACGTAGAAGATCCTCCTTTAAAGAGAATGATTTCATGTAAGAGTTTTGCCTTTTCAATTTTTTAGTCCCATTTAGTTCAAGCACTTTCACAGAGCATTCCACTACAGACCTGAGTGATAACTTTTAAGTCCACTGCATTATTTTAAAAAAATCACTATTATAAATAAAATTATCAAGTAGCAATTTCCTTAAATTTGTCATTCTGTGTAGCACAGAGGAGATGGCAATTGGGATGAAAATTGTTCCATTTTATAAAAAAAGTACTAATTAAAAAACAAACCTAAAAAACCCTAACAACTCCCCTCACCCCCAAAAATCCCAGCGCATAAAGTGTTTTCTCTTTAAAAGATATGTATTTTCAGCCTAAAAGCTAGATTTTAGGCAGCTGTTCATAACTAAAAAAGTCAATCTTACATGGTACTACTTTATTTTTTTAGTTCACTCATTTGGGATGAAGTGGAACCTCAGATGAGAGTTGGTTTTCTTATCCCCTTTCATTAACAAAAAAAACAAAAAAAACAAAAAAAAAAAAAAAAAAAGTTTCCTGAGTTGCAATAACTTCCCAAAAACTCTAGATTACCAAGCGAACAAAGTATCAAATTGGTCTAAGTACCACCCACATGTGTAATGCAGCTGGTGTTACTCCATCATGTGAATGTTTAGCCCTATTCAACTGGGGGGGAAGTTGTAATACAGGACCAACTGTGTAACCAGCATCAGTCCAGACAAAGACAGAATACACCTGAGAGAAGTTTAAAAACTACGCCTAAAATCTAAACTGTAACAAGTCTCTCCCTTGAAGAAAGTGGGTAACACACTGGGTACAACACATCATTTAATCCCAACAGGATTAACAAAAGCAACAGCTGCTTCTTGACAGGAATTTAAGTGTAAGACTATTTTAGAAGTCCTTTTCTACACAAAACCTTTTCTCTCCACAGTTACCAGTTAAACTGATGCTAAGAGAATTATACGTGGGATATTTTCTTTCTTTTATATAGAAATATTTGTTTACATTTTTATTAAAATTGAACTACTTATATAGTCTTTAATTTAGTGCATGCATTATGAAGCTAATTCCCATACTTAGTTCACAAACCTGTTCATTTAGAGCAAAGTTAGCAGCTGTTGACAATGTCGTCAGGGGCCAAAAAAAGCGCAAACCAACCAACTAAAAAAACCAACCAACCAACCAAATCTTTAGGCACAGTACATGTCTGTCACTTCTGTTTCTGTGCTTTATTTTTTGCTGCTGTACATTCCACTTTCATTGAACAGAAATCAACAGAACTTCTGTAGGTACTGAGTATATTTGGCAGCAGTCAAGCAGATAAATATAATAGCTGTAATTCAGAAGTTAAACCAATGAAAGCTTTAATTTACCAAATTTTATTATGTAGAAGCAGAAAATCGTCTCAATAAGGGACCACTTTTTAATTAAGTTCTTTTAATTCCTGCTGGAAGTATTACAAATTACATTTTGCTGCCAAACACCTAGGTTAATCTTAATTTCTAAACTAACTTGTCAGTATTTTGCTCATCTTCTGCAATTAGCCTTGTGATAAATCTTTAATCGGTTCAGAAACCTCAAGATTGCTGTTTACCCCTTAAGGAATAAGGTAACAAAGCCTCCTAATCTTTTACACACCTACATACCTCTCTACAATCTGTGCAGCCACTTCTTATCAGGTATTTGGGGTTGGAAATGTTAAAAGCCATTAAAAATGCAGATGGATAAACTAGCCAGCCAGTGGTCAAGTTCATATTCACCTATAACACCTTCAGACTATAATTACTCACTGGACTAAAGAAGTCTCAACAGGTGAAAAGCACCATAATCTGATACAGGTGTTCTCTGTTATAAGATCATTAGTACAAGTTAGATAGCATGATTTTCCACTCCTGCATCTACCAGAAGCTTAAACTACCACATCCTATAATAAAAAAAAAAAAAAAAAAAAAAGAAAAATGTATGTACCCTCACATTAAAATATGAGTATTGTAATAATGGATTATTAATTACTCATACATTATTAATGAGCTCCCTTTGTTTTCTCCCTAGTAAATTGTGGCAATCATATACAACTTCTTTTTCATATATTAATGACAAGCATGAAAATCAAAAGTGTTTAAAAAACCTGAAGAATTAACTTGTCTCCACTCTGACATAAAGGTGTGTTAACAGTAACTCCAATAATGAAACAAATTAATAATGAAGTGCAACTCCAGCCTAGATTTCCAGTAAAAAAAGCCCTCTTCTTACAGGACTGCAGAAAAAGTATGTTTGATTACAGGGATTACAGTTTTTAATTTTAGACAGAGAAATCATTAAAATGTTTCAGCATGTACAAACTTCATTCTCAACAACCTTGGCCTTTCGAAAAAAGCCTTTTTTTATTTGGCAGTTCATACAGTGAACCACCTAATCAACCTCTTCAAGCAATGCTGGGTACAGGAAACCTTAATCCCTTCTCTAAGATTTTTCAGGAAGAAAGATGACATTTGCCAGAGCTTTGCCCTTCAAGATTACTATACATAGAACCAGAACAGAGCCTCTCATCACTCCATGAAAAAATCTGAAATCTAACTTAATCTTTTCACATCTTTATATAACAATAGATTTAAAAGACTGATGAAGAGTAAAGTAGGATTGCAACATACTGAGCAATATGAATACTATGATAGTGTACAAATTTTTAGATCTCACCGACTTGTCACTGATACTTGAAGGTTTCCAAACAAATCCAAACCCGCTACCTGAGATTAGTAAGACTGATTATACTGTGTTTTGTAACTTCCATTCTACCCCTTCTTATCATTGTTACTGTGCCTGATAGATATCATGTTTACTTATTATTACTTTAAAATTCCATCAAATTAAACATAACACTCACATTTAAATAATAAAAACAATTATAGGAGGCATTATATTTTTAAGTAAAGAATGTGACTAGTAAAGCTATTAATTCAGAATGATTTATTTAAAAAGCAGGATTCGGTAGGTATCAATATAAAGAAAATTCCTAGTCTTAATTCCATCATAGTTCCCATTTGGTAACACTGCAGCTATGCACAAATGTTTATTTACTAATACAACTGGAACAAGGCATACCTTTGTGGAACTGCTTTCAGTAACTTTTGCTAGCTGCCAAAGGATTACATAATGAGTACACTGCAGTGCATGAATAACAATCTGAAATCAAGAGGAAAAAAAAAACATTAGATGACAAAGGATAATAAAAGAGAGAAACAAAAGCTATTTGTTGTTGTGCCTAAAGAATACATTTTAACTACAGACCTGTTCTGGCATGTCTCCATTTTCAATGCCAGTTTTTAATAGCTTGTAGTTGCAGCCAAACAAGTCCCATCTTGATAGGTCATGAGCACTAGAAGCATTAGAAATGAACAAAAAATACTATTTAACTGATACTTTTTCTGCAATCCAAGGTTAACAACTACTAAAAGCTTATCTGGTCAAAAAAAAAAAAAATAGTGTTGAAAAAAAACAGCCACTGAATACCTCCCCACCCAAATCAACACATATACATTAAAAAAAAAAAAACAAAAAAAATGCCATGAAGTTGCATTAAAAGGTAAGATACATCATATTAAAAACAAACAACCCCCCCACACCACAAACTCTGATACTGAATTACAAACAATCCCCCACACCACAAATCCTGACAGATGTGCAGACGCCAACTTACTTGTGAAAAGCAGTGATTCTCTTCAGTGTTGACAAGACTTGATATGCATCATCTTCATCAGGTTCCTCCCCCTATTCAATAATCATACAGTGAGATATCTCAAGCAGTGTGGTCTAAGTGAACTGGGGAACT